AACGAGGTTAGGCTTAACCAGTCGTAATCGTTACACAGAGCATTGCAAGTTTGCTCTCCACGACACCGTCAGAGCTGGTTGTCTCTGATTAGAATGACGTACGAAAGTGCACAGCAGTGCTGCTAGCAATAGTAGTAGGGCAAGTAAGTGTCTCAAGTTAAATAAACGTGATTGTTGCCCCCAGTAGTAGTTTTCCCAACCTCGGAGGGAGCTTAAATAAGTCCGAGGAGTAAGTTCGGGGCAGTGTAACAATTGCAGATGGTCGCAAGTGTGACCGTAATCGTTCCAGTAATCTGGCCCTGATGGGTTAGAGCGCAAGTGCTTGCGCGTCCAGTTGGATGCCAGTAGTCTCAGCCTTGATGTGACCAGGAGTTGTCCTTGTCACCATCCATGGCTGCGTATGATTGTTCTGTGCTTTATCGCTGGTTTATGTGATGCGGCATTCTGTAAACGAACATATCGGAAGGTAGATGTCACATCATGTATCGTTACATGTGTTATGTGGCCATAATACCTTGCATGACCAAGATGGCTTGGCATGGTGCACGTGCTGACGCACGAAGTCTACGTAGTATGCCTTTCAGCCGTCTAACTCTGTTAGTGACATGACTCGATGCTTGAGGTGCGACCTCCAAGCCTCTCGACGATTACTAATGGCACTTGACGGACAGGAGTAGTATTCTGCACGGGTAGTAAGCTTGCGGGGAACCTTCAAGTGAAGTCCCAACCAGCAAGCCGAGCTTCGGACAGAAGAACTTCCTGGGCAGAACAGAGACATCGTTTTTACCAGCGGCGCCTTGCTTGCTGCCTTGGGAGTGGAGGAGTTTATGGTTTCCGTAAACGCTAGGCCTATCCGCCCTTACAGTTGGCCTACCGTCACACTGGATTTCTCAAGCTTCGACAAAAGTTCTTCGACCGCTTGAGGGTGCGTGGCTATCCGGTGCCTTTTCTACGTGCGACATTTGCGCGAGTTGCTTATTCTATGCGACCCGCATTGCTCTACGGTACGTCTCGAAGAAGCTCTAGGGCTGGGGCCCCCCAGGTTTTCACGACGGAGTTCAATCCTCGGATTGCAGACTTGAACCTGGGGGTCATCCTAAAAACCCTAAGAAACTTCGATGACCCTAACTCCTACGAGCTTACCCGTACCATCATAGCCTGGCAACGGGGGAGGAACCTTCGGAACCTCTTAGTACGCGCTCGCTGCGCGCCGCACGCACCGGTCATATGACGTCACAGCCAGTATTACCGATTCCACGATGCTAGGAGTTGGACCGACATGGTTATTCGCATGTCTGGTTGCCATAGGCAGTTTTCTCTCATACCTAGTTAGGTTGGGGGTTACATTTAGCCCATGCTATGCAGCGATGACGTCATCAGTGACTTCTACATGCACTATTTGACACTATACGAGATCTCACCAGCATTTTAGCTCGTAGTGTCAGGGGTTAGTCCATCGCTTATGCTTCGCTAGTTTGATAGACTTTTGGAGAGAGGACTTTGCCTCACCCATCCCACTGATGAGCCCAGGAGGGCGAAATCGATCTGGAGTTATGAAGCGCGGAGCCTTCCATTGGCCTTCACTAGCGTTTGCAATTCAGTTTTGAGTCTAGAACTGCCTCATTAGGCAGCGTTATGGTCCGCTTGTAACCATTTCTAGCATGCAAAAGAACTAGCCCCCCTAAATTTCTGTTTTGAGTCTAGAGGCTCGTTTTATACCATAGTGCTAGAACTTCGAGCTTGCAAACGTCCCTGCAGCCCATTGCTTCCCGTACCAACCCAAAAACCCTAAAACCCTAAAACCCTTACCCTAAAATCCCTAAAACCCTTAAATTATAGAATAGATTGTCTTATAGCAAAGGCATCATTGTAGGTGCAACCGGCCTAGGTTTAAATATCAGCATATACTATACGTCATGCAATGATCGATCCTTTAACCTACTTACGAACCAGTGCATCAAACGAATCACTCACATGAAATAGCTCAAATGATCAAGTTCAAGTCACACATGAGATCGAACTTCGGAAATCATTGTATGCCGTGTTAGTGACCACTCATTGTCCGAGTATGCGCGCCAAATGTGCCATTTTCAAATTTCGTCCACGGTTAACATCCGGCCTCTTGTCACGTAACAATTGTAACGCAATCTGGAAAGCTCGACATTCTCACTGAGTCAAACGGAGTAGACAATCATATGCATGCAATGCCAAGGCAGGCACCTGCCAAGGCGCAGATGAATCCTACAACATACAATCTGGAGACTACTTGCGTCTCTTCCATGCCCGACAACTCCATATGGTGGTGCAAAGGGGCCATCCGGAAGAGCCGCTCCCCTTTGCCGGTTCTCGTCCGAGTCCACTTGAAGTAGGACACCTGGAGGTGCAAGAAAAACCAGCATCAGCATCCTGCTTGAACGTTGTCAAGGGCAAGCAGTGCGCGTTTGTTCATAACTCAAAATCGACGACGGAGACTGCAGTAGCTGCTACAAGTTGTCAAAGCTACATAGAAAAGTGGTACCGCGTGCAAATGTTGCCGACCCCACCCTGCACTCGCGCCCCAGACTCCCACAACGTTAAGTGCAGCCAGCCGTGCGCGCACCTGGGCTATGACGCTGACCGTCTCCGCCACAAAGACGCCGGAGATGAGGAGCAGCGGGAGGAACATGCCGGCGGCGGTGGCCATGGCGGCCAGCCCGGCCCCGAGCGCGAGCGACCCGGTGTCGCCCATGAACACGGCGGCCTTGTGCCGGTTCAGCAGCAGGAAGCCGCAGCACGCCCCCGCCATGGCCACGCCAAAGCGGCCCAGCGCTGCACGAGAGACACACGAGGCTCAGGTTCAGCAACTCGGAAGCGGACTCCCTCGTGGCAGACTAGTGTTGGACGTTCGCTTGGCACAGGATACAACGGAGGATGACAATGGTCCAAGCGGCCCTGCCTTGCCCATGTGCGGTGCGCTGCCTGACCTGGGCTGATGGGCAGCACTGCGAGCGCCATGCCCGTATACGCGATGGCCGCAGTGCCGGCGGCGAGGCCGTCGAGGCCGTCGGTGAGGTTGAGTGCGTTGCTCATGGCCGCGAAGCAGAAGGTGGCCAGCCCCGCAAACAGCTGCGCGGGCAGCCAGAGCGCGGCGCTGGCCCCCGGCTCGCCCAGCGCGGGCAGGTGCAGCAGGGTGGCGGGCAGGTCGTCGCGCACGTACGTGAGCGCGCGCTGCCGCCAGTGCTGGCCGGGGGCGTGCAGGCCCACCACCAGCAGCACGCCCGCCGCCAGCTGCACGCTCGTCTTGCTGCACCGCACGCCGGGGAGCACATGCGTCAGGGAGAACAGAGGGGACGAGGCGAGGCAGAAGGCGCCAGCAGGCAGACCTAGAAGAACGCTGGATTGCAGCCTGCCCCTCAGCGACCCTCAGCGCCCAGAACGGACAAGCTAGATGACGGCTCAACTTGCACAAGCTGTGATGGGCATGGCCGATTGAAATGGGCAACATCTGACGGGTCCGTTTCAAGTCAAACAAAACCCACATCTCAGGAGCCTTTCAGGCCCTGGGGCAGCGAGGCAGTGCGGGAGGTCGCTCACGCCGAGTACTGCGCGGGCTCCTTGATGAGCAGCAGCGTGACGAGGCCCCAGCCGGCGACGACCTGCGCTGCGAGCTTGAGGCGGCCGGGGAGGCCGTCGTTGTGGTCGAGCACCACCTTGAGCACGTCGTCCAGCAGGCCGATGCCGCCAAAGAGCGCCACAGCGCAGCACGCCACCAGCACGTCGTTGCTGCCCCAGTCCAGCGCGCACGCCACAGCCACCCCGGCGGGGACGAAGTAGAGGCCGCCCATGGTGGGGGTGCCCGCCTTGGCGTAGTGGGCGCGGGGGCCCTCGCGCCGGATCACCTGCACCAAGTACTCGTCTCAGTTAGTGCTTACAACGTCCGAAGCCGCTTCGACTGAAGCTTGGACCACTTAAACACTTGTGCAAACAGGAGCTGAGTCCGTCGGAGCCTGTGTGCAAGGTGAGGAGGGCCGCACCTGGCGCGCCTTGAGCTTGCGCAGCAGCGGCAGCGCCACGAAGCCAGCCACGCCCGCCAGGACGGCCGCGGTGAGGAAGGGCGTGAGCAGGAAGTTGAAGGGGAGGGGCCGCCGTATGAAGCGCCAGGCGTGCGCGTCCGCCAGCGTGACTGTGACCAGGAGCGCAGCTGCGAGGCCTGCGGCGGAGGGCGCCCCCGGGATGGCCAGCACCGGCTCCAGCACCGCGTCCAGGCTGTCCTCCCACTCCACCGCCCGCGCCGCCACTGCCTGCGCCGCACGCTGCAGCCGCACCTCCTCCTCAATCTCACTCAAGATCTCGCTCGCCAGCCCCGCCCGTATCTGTGCCCCCTTCTTCCCCAGCTCAAGGGACTTCCATTTGCCACCGCCCTTGTCCACCTTGCTGCCGGCTGGCCGGGCCCCTTTCTCCTTCTTGGTCGACGAATTGTCTGCAACCGGCATCACGCCCCCAGCATCCTCTGACTCCTCCTTGAGGGATCCCCCCAAGGCCGCTGCAGCAGCCTCCTCCCTGTCAGCTTCCTCCCCGGCTCCATGCATTGAATGCTCTTCATGGTGGAGGCCAGCATCAGTATGCTCCCCATCGCCAGAGTCAGCCTGCCCGCTGCAGCACTGGGGAAGGCAAGTGGCCTGAGGGCAACCAGCAACTGGAAAGTGATGCAGTCAGGACAACGCAGAGACTAGTCCCATCGTGGCCAGGGCGAGGCTTGTAAGCCAGCGGGACAGAAGGATATTACAGAAGAACCAAAATCTTCAAGGAGGGGAAGCGTTGATCAGGGTCAGAAAGAACACAGTTGTCAGGAACATTACAAAAATAGTCAGCCACTGAACCCGGAGCAATGCGTCGACAAATATGAGAATGCTGTTCATGAATCGCTGCCCCCTCCTAGCCTGCCCTTGTCCACAGCCAACCTGTAGACGCCCTGCCGCACTCGTCCAGCCCACAGCTCGTGACATCTTGGCAAACGCCGGTGCTGGAGCAGCCACCATCTGCCTGCTTGCCTTCTGTTTCTCCGCGGCCACCGGGGGTGCTGGCAGGGGGCATCCCAGCACACTGGGCTGCATGCTGGCCTGCTCGTCGGAACCAGGCTGGGGGAAAAGACCATGAAAGAAGAGCAATCGCTGTGCGGTGATGCTAGCGCCGGCCATGGCACAGCAGCAAGAGGGGGGATGCTGCTGCTGCCAGCTCCTACACCTGCCTGCTCCTATCTAGAGCCAGGTGACTATGGCACCCCAGGCATCAATGACGAAATTGTCAGAGCACGAAAGTCAACACTCCTGACACACAGCAGACTAACGCAGGGAGTAGCAATGTTCTTTGTGTCAAGCTTGACATCAGCATGCATAGAATGATTCCAAGAGACGTCTTCCCAGAAGGCGGAAGGGCTCTGCATTGAGTTGGTGGCAAGCACTTAGCCTGATTGTAGGATCAGCTGAGCTCCAAATGCGAGCTGTTTTTCCTTCCGTGGAATGCTGCAGCAATAGATACTGACATGAACCCCTATCCGCCGCTAGCCCAATTCAGCTGCATACGGTATGATGCGGTAGATGTGTGCTTGCCAAGATCTACCTACGAGCAAGGCTCAACAAGATAAAGTGAAAGCTCATGATACTATTACATGGCTCAACGTTTAACTGGGCGCGCGGGCGGCGGGGCCGTTGCTGATCAATGCCAAGGCCCCGTCACAGTGCTGTTGAATCATGAATGGCCATATGGTCCGGGTGAGCCTCTGAGTCCGACTCTGACTCTGACTCTGACTCCGAGTCCTGAGTCTTCTGCAGGAGGATGGACAACTTGACGTGTAAACAGACGGTTGAAGATACGGTAAACAATACAGTACAGCCCGGGCAAACTTGCTGAATATACTTACCCTGTAACACGTGGATATTTTTTAAGGTGGTAGGAC